TACAAGGTAAAAAATAAAATAAATGAAATATCAATAGATATTAAACAAGTAAAAGTTGTCTGATAATGAATCTGAAATACAGAACCATCAAACAACTTGTACTTGTTTAATATCTACTGATAATTCATTTATTTTATTTTTTATCTCGTTTCAATTTATATTTGTAATTTGTATCTTTTATAGCTCTGAGGAAGATCCACAGCATTGGTCTAAACGTCAGCGTATCCAATAAAATACTATTTTAATATGTAGTATTAAATTTGACTGTACCCCTGACCAACTCCTTCTCACAATAATAATTATGTAAACACACGTGGGCATATACAGCCTTATATCTCTAATGTTGATAGCAGGTATAACTTCAGAAAAGTTAGGGTAATGCTTTAAGCTTAGTGCTTATACAAATATCTTAATTGTACAATATTATACTTTTTTATGCACCAGAAAAATGTAATTTAATTATAATTGGTAATAGTTATAATGTTTCATGGGTGATAAATAGTCAGGACGCAGTCATACAAATCTTTTTATTTGTGCCAACGTTTCAACCCAAACATGTGGGTCATCTTCAGAGCGTGGTTCGAGTACTGTACTTCAAATACAGTACTTGAAACATTTACTGAAACGGCACAAATAAAAAAAATTGTATAATGACTGCGTCCTGACTATTTATCACCTATGAAATGTAGAACAGTCAACTAGCTTCCTTCAATAGTTATAATGTTTCAATACTTTATATACTTATATTCAATACTTCAATACTTGAACCATATAATGGTTCAATGCTGATGCTTATATTGTATACTCACCACTTTTCTGATGATATTCTATATTCCATTTTTAAGGTTGTTTGTTTTAACTAATAAAAATAATTACTTTTTGCTGTATCAGAAATATTTCATTTTATTATAATAACATACATTTTGGATTTATTAAAGAATTTTCAATACTTGTTACACTGTATATACACTCATCTCGTTCAATAAGCTTTGTTTTCAATGTTTTTATTTTCTATGTTTCAGTGAAAATACCTGTCAGTTGTGTTAAGTGAACAGCTGGAGTTTGGTTAGACGTGTGATGGTAATTTACATTAATGTTGTTTGTTTTAATTCATAAAAATAATTACTTTTTACTGTATCAGGAATATATAATTTTGTTATAATAACATAAATTTTCGATTTCTTTAGTGAGGTTTCAATACTTTTTACACTGTACCTCATCCAATAAGCCTATGATGTTTTAAATCTTTTAATTTTCTTTGTTTCAGTGACAATACCTGTCGATTGTGTTTAGTGAACCTCCAGAGATTGGTAAGACATGTGTGATCGTAATCTTTATCTCTTTGGTTGAGATAATCTCATTGATTTATATTTATTTATAGTAAATCTTGTTCTCAGCGACATCACTTAATTTTTCAGTCTGAAATAATTCTTAATTATATAAATATATTGAATATGACTTAATATCTTTCATTGTTTTGACTAAATTAATTGTATTTTATTTGTTTAAAGCCTGACAACATACATAGTTGTAATGTAATAATATCAATTAACTAATGTTTTTGGATGATTTAGTGTATACATAGTTTTAATCATGTGTGGTCCATTAGAGATGAATTGTACTTTTTTTCCTTTTAATTAATTAAAAATTATATGAATCTCACTGTGCATGTGCATAAGTTGGAGCCTTATATTATACAGTCAGAGGATGTATATGTTATGCCATTGAGTTAATTTTTAAGTTCTCATTGATCTTTAAATTCTCTACGCTGTATTATAAAGCTGACAGTACTTGTCTTCCATAAAATAACAATTCAGTATCAGTCATATTGCCTGATGTTTAAATAAATAGATATTGTAATTCACTTTATTATCATTAGCACATGCTATTTTATTGTATTGTTTTTGAGAAGACTTGTTCACTTTTTTTATGTATTAAAAATAACTTAAAGCACAGGCGGATCCACGGGGAGGGGGCCTTTCAGGACTGAAGTCCCTCCCTTTCCCCCTCCCAAAATGGTAAAATATAACCAGGTTTTATGAAAAAAAAAATCTTTAAAAGTATTATTGTTCGTATAATTACAGTTAATAGGACTTCAACAATCACTTAAAGATCATTTCATATAGGTAGTTAGTTTCTTTATTTCTTCCGAAGTAATTATCCTAACATATTTGTACAAAAAAAAATCTTTCAGGCTGAAGCTCCCACCAAAATTAAATCCTGGATCCGTTAGTGACTTAGAGTATTAACAGATCTAAAGAAACTGTAAATTATAACTTGTATTTCATTAACATAGTTTTTACTTTAAGAGTACAAATGTATATGATCTTTTTCTATTATGTTCATATTCTTAATATATATTTAATATCTGTACAAAATAAAAATTTACATATTTATGAATTAAAATGTTTGGCCTAGGTAATATATTTTGCATATAAATTATTTCAATACTGCAATCTCAGTATCAATTAGAAATTAAATTAAACTTTTATAATATGGACTGGTAAAATGACGAAAGTGAAAAAGTTTTGAAGTGTGAGTGATTTAGTATTATTACCAAACAAAAATGAGCTTAGGACTAATATTTTAGAAATTACTTCATAAAATTGAATTTGTTCGTGTAATCAACAGTACCTAAAAAGTTTGCTTATTAAAAACAAATTTTGGCTTATCTCACTTATTTAAAAATGAAATTAAGCTGTTAAGTTGATTTTTTAAAATAATTTAAGTATACCTGAGGCTCCTTTCATTTACATCTTAAACTAATCTAGCATTAAGAGTTGTAAGTATTGTATTTAAAGTCCTTAAAAGTTGTAACAAGGTCAAAAAGAATAAGTAAATTTTTTATGAAAATTGTTTAAAATATTGTTTTCATAAAATCACTTTATATTTATTTTTCATTATGATTTCAAAACTGTTCATCCGATAAACGGCACTTAATTTTTAACAATTGTACTAAATTGATATTTTTAAATTATTATAAATTGTTATTAAAGAAGTACATATGCCTAGATATCAACTATTTAAAACATAATAAGTTAAATTGAGGAATATAAAATTCAAATAAAAGAAACAAACAATTAAAACTAGCATAGATTTAAATATGAGATAATCCAGTAACTTTCTATGAGATCAATAAAAAATATTTGATAACCATTGATATGAAAAAAAATAATAAGAAAGATAAAATTTAAACAAAGTTAATAAAATAAAATTATGAAAATAAATGTAGTTGTTTTCCATTTTCCTCTTCAGGGATAGAAGAAAAATATTAACAACACTTTTTAGACATAACTTTGGTGGAGTTAAAGAAAGATTCCATTACTACAATTTAGAAAATGTCTAATAAAGAACATAGCTATTATTTTTCAATACATTTTGAAATATTGTTTTGTTTTTTTAAATATTATAATAGAACTTCTTTTTCTATATCCTTTATTCTTGTATTATTTTTTAAATAAAGGCAGAACATTATTTTTATTAGAAATATTTGATTTATTTATCCTAATAATCATAAATTTCAAAATGATCTCTTCAAAAATTAGTTACTGATTTCTTATCGAACATCAGCCATTTCCACTGAAAAAAGTTTCAGAATACATCATTGAGAAACTAGTATACCTATGTGCTCTTCTCAGTTTCCACTAATGGTGGATAATTCTATTTTACCATTTCAATTAAACTTTATGAAGGAAAACATTTCATGTAATGATTTATAATCAATCAGAATCATCTTTCATCGATTTAAATTTCTCTTCATTGATTAAAATAATGATGAGATACTAAGAAACCTTTGAATTAAGAATATAGAAATGTAAATATTTCTTACCTACAATTATATTTAGAAGAGGGAAATTTCTCAGCAGCTTATCTATAATGTTTTATATCTATCCAATTACTTTTAAAATGAAGTAGGAAATAGTATTAAATCGAGATATTTTATTTATTGTTTTTGTGATACAATTATAAATAATAAGAGGTGAAGTTCGGGAAATCTTTTCCGATCATCAGAAACATATTGTTAGCTCCTAGAGGTGCTTCTTTTGTCATTTTATAAAATTCTTCCACTATTTTCCTTTTGTTAAACAAATTCGTGAGTAAGATACATATTATAACTACAGAAAAGTAATAAACAAACTTAAACTTTATGAAATGTCAAAGGAAGCATATAGTTACTATGTTTTTGATGAAGGAAAAAGATTTCCCAAAACATTAAAGAAATGTGATAAATAAATATATGCAATACATGCAAAGATGGATTTTTGTCATCTTTAATGATATCAGCTCCAATAAGAAACATAATATATTTATAAATACAATCCTTATATAATATATATGTATACAATTAAGTCTTCAAATGTGAGGAGACACTTTTCATGAAATTTTCTCATAAGTTCTTCAATTTATAGATTTTTATGCGGCAGATGCAGAATAGGCATTCTTACAAAAATCTGAAATGAAATAAATGTACTGAGAAAAAGAAAAAATAGATTTTCAAATTTCATCTTATTTTGATCCCTGATCTATTTTTATTAACAAAAACTAATCTTCACCTATATAATTAAGTTTAAATAAAATGGCCCCATTAATTTTCACTTCCATATTGTGCCCCTTGAACCAAAACAATTATTCATCCAAAGCTAGACCATAAACTCTGTTGAAACTATGATGGAAAAAATTATTGCAAAATTAATTGTTAATCACAAGATTTTGAACCTCCCTTGGTTATATAAAATTTAATTTATATTATTTACTCATTGAAATTTATATTATATATTAAAAACCACTTAACTCCAAGGCTCCATAATTAAGACTTCTAAAGAGGTTCTGTATGATGAAGAGTTATTTAAAAGTTGTAACACTCCCTAATAAAGGTATCATGATACACTTCCATAATCACGTTAAGTTCCTTTCTTTTCTTATCATGTAAAATCACATGTTTTCCATTTCTGAAGCTGAATTTTTTTACGACTTTCTCTAAACTACATTGAGACTGCATATCAAATAAATCCACTCCTAGAGCTAGTGGAGAAAGTAACCGCTACAACTAAACCTGTAACAGAAATGATTTATTTTTATACAGCGCCATAAATGAAAAGCATATATAACTTTATTTGAGATATCTGAAACATATCTGAAAGGTTGTTCTATATCTTTCCCAGATTTAATCTTAAATTTTCTATATTGTAGATAATTCACTACACTTCATAAGTACAAACTACTTTTATAATTATTAAAACAATTTTTCAACCAAATCAAACGAATATCATTGCCCAAATTCATAATTTGTTTTATATTAGTTTATAATATTTTACCTTTGCCACATTTAATCTCAAATTTTCTGTATTGTAGATAATTCACTACACTTCATAAGTACAAACTACTTTTAAAATTATTAAAACAATTTTTCAACCAAATCAAACGAATATCATTGCCCAAATTCATAATTTGTTTTATATTAGTTTATAATATTTTACCTTTGCCTCATTTAATCTCAAATTTTCTATATTGTAGATAATTTGCTTCACTTGAGAAGTAAAAACAAGTTTTGAAATTATTAAAACAATTTTTCAACCAAATCAAACGAATATTATTGCCCAAATTCATAATTTGTTTTGTATTAGTTTATAATATTTTACCTTTGCCACATTTAATCTCAAATTTTCTATATTGTAGATAATTTGCTTCACTTGATAAGTAGAAACAACTTTTGAAATTATTAAAACAATTTTTCAACCAAATCAAACGAATATCATTGCCCAAATTCATAATTTGTTTTATATTACTTTATAATATTTTACCTTTGGCACATTTAATCTCAAATTTTCTATATTGTAGATAATTTGATTCACCAAATAAAATTAATATCAATGTCCAAATTCATGATTTTTTCAATATACCTATTGGTAGAGAGGTCTCTTAAGTTTAAAGACAATAGCGAAAATTTCACAACTCTTATTATATAAGCAAAATATGCTTTTAATGAAAATACTACATTTCCTGATTTTTTCACGTTTAAAACCAAAATGTAGATGAAATAATTGAATTCAAACATTAAAACAACACTATTACAATAATTTGATCATGAATTTAACTGAAATCGTATTATTCGGAAATAATTACATTTTATTTACTACTCAAATAATCCTCCAATTGTCTAATTAGCCGTAATAACATCCTATTTAAAAATATTTAATTTAGTTATAAAAGTTGTCTAAAGATAGCAGCACTAATCAAGAAACTACAAAAAAAAATAATAGTTTAAATCAACACCGCAAGAGGCCAGCACCATCCAGACATGTATTTCGAAGTCGAATTCCTACGGAATATTTTTAAATTTGTATTAGGATAGTGGGAGGTCAAAGGAGCTCACTCGGTGGAGCTCTTGTTTTGATTGGTAGTGCTGCCTCCTGGCGGCAGTTGCTAGAACTTCAAGTGCACGTGCACTTAGACCATACCTACTAGTTGAGCTCCTTTGACCTCCCACTATCCTAATACAAAATGAAAAATTTTCGCTCGGGTTCGGGTTCGGAAATATATGTCTGGATAGTGCTGGCCTCTTGCGGCGCTTAACAGAACTATTATTTTTAAAGGTTTCTTGATTGGTGCTGCTATCTTTTAACAATTGCTTTAACTACTATTGTAAATAACCAGTTTGTTGGTAATATTTTTGTTTTTCTGTGTTAAAATTATTTCCAATCATGTTATTTATGTGTGATTTGTGATTTGGAGCGCTTGTTTCATTATGTATACTTTTAAGAGCTTATTAACTCAATAATCTATGGAGATAAAATGTAAAACAGTGAAATATACAGGAATAATGAACTGAAAATGGAATGAAATAATTTCATCAGCACTAGATTGAGTGTTATATTTACTCAAAGGATCTATTTGAAAATTCAAATGAAATATGATCTATTATCAAAGAAAACTATGATATAAATAAATTTTACTGTGAATAAATGAAAATGATTTATTTATTTATTAGCCAAGCTTTCAAGATGTTCGTATCTAATAAAATATATATATTTGAAGATAAAGATAGTTTGAAAATTATCTATGTTACAAGGTAATTACATAATTGTTTTGGGGCTTACTGGAACTGATTTATTTATTTGAAATTTCGAATTTAATTATAACTTAAGTACTATTGTTTGTAATTTTCAAGTTTTATTGTGAAAAATATGATTAATATAGATTAGTAGTCAAGTAGTCAAGATGTTTGTATCTCACGAAATACTTATTGTTGAAGATAAATATAGATAAAAAATTATTTATGTTACAAAGCAATAAATTGTTTAGGGATAATGTTATAGTTAGTTACTTTTAAGTACATATTAAGTTAATATAATCTAAGTAAATACAATAAAATATATAATATTAATGAATTGTTGTTTAAAATGTGTTGTTATTTACTTATACCAGAATAAAATAATTTCATCGGTATCTGATACTGAGAGTTGTATTGTCTCAAAGGACCTGTTAAAAATTTCTAATAAAGAATGCTTTTAATTATCACATAAATACTGCATTATAAATAAGTTTTATTGTAAACAATTTAAAATAATTTACATAAATTTATAGATTCAGTGAGTGAAATAAATAAGAATAAAAAGATTAAATCTATTGTCTCAAAGCGTCTGTTTAAAATTTCTAATAAAGTACGACTTTTTTATTTTTACCCCTTAATCACCGCATTGTAAATAATTTTTATTTTGAAAAATAGAAAATAATTCACATAAATTAATAAAGTCTGACTTTCAAACTGTTTTTAAATGGTGTTTGGGCTTAAAAATTACATTAAGATGGAGATATATTTAGAGTAATATTTTTATTAAGGAATTATTCATTGTGGACTAATACAAAATTATCTAGTATGATTAAAGTGTTGACATAAAAGAGGTAAGTTACAAAACCAAATCATGCAAGCAAGATTATTAGCCAATCCAGAGTCAAAACAGGAAGATCTAATTGGAAGAAGCTAGAAAAGCAATGTGATACTAAGGAAATTTACATGTTTAAGTTGTGTACTAAAAAATAACCTATGTTTGAATTTTTTTTTTCATTATAAAGGAAAGATACTATTTTAGATTATAATTATAATTGGTAATTGGTTGACTGTCGTGGATAATGAAGAGAAGAATAGTTGGGGTGCTCAGTCAAAAAAGGAAGGCAAAAAATAAATTATAATATTTATTTTTTACATATGCCTACGTTTCGACCTGAAGTTCAGGCCTTCATCAGGGCTAAGAAAATAACCAGATAACAAGGTATAAGAAACATAAGTAATGATGGTAAAAAAGATAATAAAAAATGAGGAAATAAAATAAAAAAAAAAATTATTAGAAAAATAAAATAGATAGATATAAAGTAAAATGAAATTGTTAGAATAATGACTAAGAACTAAGAGATAAATAATAAAAACTGTTACATAGTGTGGAATGATGAAGTAGGCATAATCAAAAAGGGGTGACAAAAGTGTTACATTGGGAATCTTAGAATAAAATGTAAAAAACATAAAAAAGAAATATAAAGTTTTTTATCAAGTTTTTATTAAGTTTTTTTTAGATAAAAATATTTATTTGTACCTCTTAGACAAAAATATTTATCATTAAATTTTAAAGCTGTGGTCCGAAATCATTTCTTTTTGAGATAAAAGTTTATTTGCTGAGATTTTTAAGTTATAAATTACATTAAAGACTTAATTTTCAAGTTATACTATATTGCAATCGGATCAGTAAGAGATAATGAGGCATTATGACTCATATATTTGTCTTGCTAGCATCTGTTAACAAAATTGGATAACTCGAAATACTAAAATTGTTAAAAACAAATTTTAAAAGTTTTCCATTGAGATTATAAATTTGCAACAAGTCGGTCTGTCTTCTTTGTAGCTTTGTGTTTTGTTGTATTAATTATCAGTTGAATAAGTACTTACTTTAGCCAATTTATAAGCTCATAAAAATGGAGTTATCCTCTTTCAATGTAAAAAGGGTTTAAAACAAACAATAAAATTATATAGTATTGACTAATTTTATTTACTTCCTTTAAAATGAATTTTTTTTTTTTCAGTAATATTCTCTAAAATAAAATGTTAGGAGTTTATTTTAACACCCTTAATTTTTTTTTTAAATTTAAATATATAAATAATAAAATTGAAAGACATTTTGATCCCCACATATCAGTCTTCTGGGTCATCGAAAAGTAATGATTATTAAAGAAGAGCTTAAAAAACTAAATTAATCATTAACGTATTCTACCAAGTTCTCAAAGGCAGATAGCAGAAAACTCCCAAGTTGGATTTTGTGTCGCAGATGTAATTCTTTCAGAAGACCACCTCTTGTTCATCTCAACTACAATAAATTAAGACTATTAGGCATGATTTGATGAACTTATTGTTCAGTGCCAGCATACTTGAATAAAGACAGCTTCTACTCTACAAATCTAATACTTTTTATTGTACGATAAAATAAATACATCCATTGATTCACTATATGAAAAGAAATACACTTTGATGCATAATAAATACATCCTTAGATTCACTATATGAAAAGAAATACACTTTGATGCAGATAAAAGTCTTGGTCTTATTGATAATCAAATTTTACATAATGTAATAAATACTATTAATTAACTAGACTTTTAATTTTGTATATTAGCTTATAGTTATTATAATATTATTATTTTACAGCATTATCCCTATCTTCAGAATTGTTTATATGCAACTGGGTACAATGTTATACTAAATTGTTTCAATCAAACAAGTTTTAATTAAATTTTGTAAATTAAATGACAGCATATTATCCTCTATTATAATTTAAATATTTTCACATATAATTTCATCTAAACCAAGCGATTGGTGGTGTCAGCATCAAACCTTTGGGTTCACTAAGCCTCCTATTATTATTATTATCATTTATTTGTTTCACACATTACATGGTTGTTTGTAATAGTTTGGAACCGCACTGGTCAACCAAATATTACATTCATATATTTTTAAATTATTTTATATTTGTTAATTTTCGAACAATACTGCCATTTGTATTTTTTCTATTGTCACAAACGGCAAGTCTTTTCTGGTACAAAGACAAGATTTTTCTGGTATTAACCCATTACATGAAATTACTAACAGTAGAATCCGCCTTTCCTTTAAATCGTACAGTTGTTTAAATTTTTCCACAAATTCTGAATATTTGTTATTATTGTTATTACTATTATTAATTTCGTCTAAAACTTGCAGATTTTTCTAAACTTTGCATGTTATTATTAATCATAAAGGGATCTTAGATTATATTACATCTTATCTTATATTGCAAAAATATTTGTATTGAATTTGCTGATAAAGTGGATAAAATATATTACAGCCAATATGAAAACAGAAAATATAATCCATTATAAGGAAAATGAAAAACGTTTAATTAGAAAAATATTAGTTGTTACAGTAAAAACAGTTATACCATTAACAACATTACTACATAAAAAATACCTAAAAGTACTAAATATTTACAGACCAAGCAGAAAGTTTTTGAAAATTTACCCATACTTTGCACCTTATCTTGTACACCTGACTCAATTTTAACTAATAACTCATTTTTTTTAATAACACAGAATCAGTAGCTCTACTATCCCAATTATGAGAGACAAAGTGATATGTAATGCATGCTGTACAAACAATTACACATTAAAATGTTTTAAATTTATAATTCTTACATAAAGTCTCATGTTTAACTTAATTTAAACTGTAATTAAGGTTTTTGAATTTTAATTTC